AACCGGTCGTGGGGTTTACAGAAACTCACAGCCAATTGTCCTGTCAGGATTCTATTTCTTTTCCAATAAGGACTAACTTAAGCGCTTGTTTTAAACCCTCTAGGGATTTGAGCCCACAATAATTAGAATGCAGGTAAGTGCGTTACATTGCATTCCTCAGAACGCCCTAAAATTGCTGCATCTAATCAGTCAAATATGACTCAAATATGACGATACTTTCAACGATGAACACGCCTGGAACACCACTCTTGGATGGTCCCGGTTGTGCCCATAACTTGTTGCGCCGTCAAAACTCAAATTCTGTGCATACTGAAAATTCCAAATTTATCAGGAAAAACTACCCATTATGTTGCCGAAGCGTGTCATGCTATCCAACAAACAGGGCCGCTGGGTTATCGTCCAACGAGTCCGGTAAAAAGTTATATCGTGAACTTATTAGCCTGATCAGACTTGAAGACCCAGATGTGTCCAGCATGTCAAGGGTCTGGATTTAAAGGGATCGTCGAGTATTTTTTAGCTGCTGGGCTGTCTGTTGTGTCCTTCCTTACAAGGCAGGCACTGCCAGATGAGTCCATTGGTACGACTTTCTAACCCATAACAAGCCATCTTTAGTCAGGCCTTTGAAAAGTCTGTGTCAGATGCTTACATCTTTCTTCGAGGGCATATTCTTTCACATTTTCCAGGATAAAAAACAAGTCCATGCTGTCGTTTTGCTAGGAATGAATGCAGGCAACAGAGACCAGAGTAAAGCTATATATTTGTTACTAGTATACTACTTACAGGTTCATGGCTCGAATGGATTCCTATACTCTGAAATTTCATCATTTGTTTTAAAACAGTTTGCTGCTACCTCATTCGTGGTGTGTTATCATCGAGAAATAATCGGGAGGGCGCAATTAAAGTGTGTAACAACTTAGTTTAGAAAACACTGCATTGCACGAAGCTGGGAATTCGCAGTCTTTTTTTCATTAATTATCGATAGTGCAGTGCAATTCAATCTAACCGTCCGCTGAAAATTTATTTCTAACTGTAAGTTCAAACTTACAACCGCATTAGCTGCGTGTGGATGGTGCACCTGGGTTACTAATCACGCCAAGTGAATGGCAAAAAAAAACAGAAATACGTCATATTGAGCTATTCTTAGTATGTATCATCACTGATGTTATCCATTTCTCTATCAAAACCATAATTCCTTATATTGGTTTCACAAAAGAGACCGTAAGTGTTCTAAATTAGAATACACTAGTGTTTGGCATATCTTCGTGGGTAACAACAGTGATTCATATACGTATCGTTCAGAAACACACACCAGGATTAGTACACGAGATCGGTTTGGTAGACACGATGCTTTGGGATGATCGATTTTACGTGATTCAGAACAAAAGGTTGGTTAATTCATTGTATTTGAATAACGCGAGAGATTAATGTTTCACCGACTTGTGCCAGTCATCGACGCAAAACGCTGTACGCTCATAAAGAAATAAGTTACCTGGCAAAGTAACCATAGAATACCGAACGGTAGGCTCTAGTTGCCGTCTAACGATCCTCTTTCAAAGAATCGCAGATGAGACATCTGTGTGGTTATGTTGTGAACAGCAATTGATATTTGTGTATATCCTCTTATCGACTATTTTCCCTTAGGGATATACTTGTCTGGTCTACGTGTAATTTCAGGGAATCCGACTGATGAAGTTAGGTGAAATATCATCTTGCCATCCCACGTATATTCCCACTAACCATAGTTTAAGTGTTATTTTGAGTTGATAAGTTGAATAGCAGCGTAAAAGCACCCATGCTTTTGGAGACTAAGTTGCTAATAACTTACTCAATGAATAACTTCACCTCGCAGTGTATTGCAACTTTCGTAGCTCGGTTGACGCTGATCCGCCGTTACTTTATCTGCTTGCTAAGCCTGGGACTAACGATGTCTCCTTGAATGGTAACTAGATATCAGCAGGCCACATGCCAATTTAGGCCAACAGATGAACGATCAGCATCATCTGTGCATTGCACTTAGCTATTCAAAGATGTTTCAGTCAGGCATTGCGGCTAAAGCCCCTTGGTGTGGTCACAGAAGGCGGCAATCGTTCTGTGAACATGGAATGTGTGTATGAAATCGGAATAGTTTCGTTGACCACTTTGAGAATCGAAGTAGTAACATCAGACACTCGGGTGCGCATACTGTACAACATAAAAGAGTGCCGTGCATTCCTTGAGATGAGTAGAAAAGTACGGCTTATTCGTTGATTTCGTGTTCCAAAAAGTATAGATTAGCATGCTGCTTACAGAGATGAGAAGATCTGAAAGTGACTCACGATTTGAAAATCAACCCGGAAATCTGGGTACTTGTTCCTGCAGATGGAACCCAGATACTAATCGCATCTATGCTTCCTCTTGATTAATCAAAAAGGGGGCAGCTTATATCATTCACCCTGATATTTTATTAAGGGAACACTTAGCAGTTATCATAAGACAGATCAAAGTAGTCTGTCGGAACACCAACCCCGTGCTACTGAATGGAAATACCAGGTTGGGTGCTACTCCACACATTTGTGATTGCTATTCAAATTAAAACGATGGTACAAACGTTGAAATAACTTCCTAGTCGCCTGCATAAGCAAGCACTCACCGCGTGAAGTTCAACGGTAAAACCACACGTGCAAGACCGTTGGTTCATAGCACGCGTATTCATTGTGCAAACTACCCAATCAAATGAACCCATGCAGCAACGCAACAAAAACTATGCAGCCTTTGGTTTTTGACCAATCCGGGCGTTTCTTCGGTGTGGACAATTGATTGGATGCGCGCGGTGTCGGACAACATCCAGTTCGATATGCGGGTGATTCATGTGGTAGGACGATTTGCCAACAGGGAGGAAACAGAATAACGCATGTTGAAAATAATCGGACTGCTGAATTGGGAGATGGCTAGTGTAATTTTTATTCTGAGAAAACATGCTTTCAGTATGGCTGGTTGTTTCCCTGACTGTTGATTCTTGTGTTGGGCCCAAACCAAAATAAAAACGCCACGTGTTGCTGAAATTTTCTGGAACTTATTAAAGTAACCCTCGTTAATGACCGGAAACAAACGCTGTTGAAGATGGCTGAAGTGTATTTCACATCTGATGTGAGTTTGATAACGCTCACAGCAAATACCCAGGATTTGCATGCGTTACAGAAACTAATCAACACATTAGGTACAAAACAAAATTGGTTGGGTCAGAGAAAATGCCTTCAGGAACGAAATAATATCTGTAAATAAACTTATATCGATGACGACTTTAGTCATTCTAAGGGTGAACAAAATCTTTTCCTAAGCTAAAAGCGCGCGATGCTTTTTCCGCCTAGAAAGGCTTGTCTACTGCGAGGAGGTATTTGTCAACAATGGACAACCATATTTACGTATTTTATCACGTGACTTTATTGATCACCTAAAGTAAGTTTACATAAACATACTTCTTACCTCAATCCCTCTTGCCCAATTGGGTATCCGTGCTCTTCGCTTAAAAATCAATACCATTGTTCTGAAGTCGTAGTGAATGAATCTTAAGAAGGTCAAGTTCAAATCACGTTGAAAAGTAAACTGGTAGGTGCAACAGTGCTATTCTCCGGCTGCAAAATGATGTTTCTTGTACACTGAAACTTCTTCACATGAAAATAAGGGTGAAATCAAACTTTGGAAGCTGAAATACCCCCCTCAAACGAGGAATTTGCATACATACAAACTGGTCTAACTAATGTGCTTAATAAAGCCCTGCTGGCATATACCCAACAGAACAGTTGCTTACTTTGGACTACTCAGGTAGACGTGCTTGCTTTTAGAGAGATTTCAAAATGGTGAGCAACAATTCTATTGGAATTCTGTATGCAATAAAAATTTATGTAGTAATTTGAGCGCAAACGGACCTTCCAAATTCTGGATGTTCTCTCTTCAGTCGTACCCGTTTGAACGAAAGGATTTTCAACGACCTAAAACAACTAGAACATACCATGTGCAAATTCTGCGCCCATTATAGGGACTTGTTTTCGCTTGATGGTATCGCATGTTCCCCCAAACCATAATCCGTTACGTTTGTCCACCGTGTATGACGGGCATCTGAATGCCAAGACCTTTTTATTAACTTTTTAAACGCATTAAATGTGATCCGTGGTTCTAAGTGATGGTTTGGCATTCGGTTCACCAAAACGAATGAGCTGATCCATCTATGCGAAATTGACAATGGTGCCAGCGATGTCCTTTGGGTCACAAGGACAAGGTGTATAACGTTCTTGCAAACAGGCTAAAGTTCACGAACATGACTGTACCATTATTCGATTTATTTTAAAACTAGGCCAAAATATTTTCAACTGAGATTTCGTCCTGTCCATGAAAACAGTCTGTGCTGAGAAAGCGAGAAGTACGGTACAGCTCTTCCGTCCTTATTGGAAATCATCAGCAATGCGCATCTCACTAAACTCATGGAGTGTCATTCACTGATAGGACCAAATCTGGAGTAAAAGATCACCAAGCCACCTTACATTACCATCGGTGTATAAGTAGCTCAAAATACAAGACTGTTTTACCAGGTCACAGATGGTCAATAGGTAACTACATTATTGGAATTTCATCATTGAAGAACGAGCGGCACTGTGAGGTTAATTGTGAGTTGATCCCACCGTTGATCAGCTGCTCGTGGCTTAACTGTCAAGTTGCGGGTTCGAAACTGTTTTTTGTAGAAAGTGCATTGCTAACGATTCCCAATAATCATGAGAACTCAGAAGGTAGGGAATAAAGCTTGTTTTCTGTTATTATTCCTCTTGGTTAATACGTCACAAATTTATGTTGGTGGAAATCACATGGAAAAGATCGGGTCTATATACACTTTGGTGAAATAGAAATCAAAGGAAGGCGGGTTGAATGAGGGGTGGGTCAGTGCGTCACGGAATAAAGTAAGTGATGCCAATGTCAGACAGTCTTGTGGGACCGGATGTTTCGTAGGCCAGTTCAAGTTCAGAGGTCGCACAAGTTTCTTTTGGAAGCAAAGTGGCGGATCCGGGAGCCGGATTTCAATCGCCTCATCGATCGATAGCAGTCTGGATCGTACCAGTCGTGATCGGTTCAGAGGTACCCGATATATGATGGTGAAGGCTTGCTCCTTGTCTATGACATGACCGGTTTCGGCCAAATGTGATGCAATCGCGCTTCAGCCTGGTTTCTTCCCACTATCACTCAGAGATACGGGCTTGTGTTCTAGCATTCTGTCCGATAAATGCCTTGTCGTACGACCAATGTATGATGCTCGGCAGGAGCATACAACTGAGTACACACAAAAGCTGGTGGTAGGACGTGGCAATTTGTCCTTCAAGCGGAATTTGATGGTGGGGCTAGAGTTGAATTTCAAACATAGATTAGCGGCAAAGTATGTCAGATCAACAAAGTTTCTGAGCCCTCTGGTGATTAGTTCAACAACCGAGTCACCTTTGAATGGAAGCCTCATGCATACAGGATTCGTCCTAACAGAACATTGTGTAGTTTTGGGCTTAACGGCTTCCATAGTGTTGAGTAAGAACCATTCAGGATGTCCGTTTTGGAGGAATATGCGTCCCAAGAACTTTAGATCCTCTTCTAGACAGTCGGGCGAGCATACCTTCATTGCTCTCTCAGTCAGGCATCTAATTAAGTCGCACTTTTGGTGCAAAGCAACGAAGCTATCAAAGTCAACAGGCTTTGTGTGCTTTCTGTGGACCTTGCGTTCTATGGTCCCGTCTGTCTTCTTTTTAACATTGACATCGAGGAAACTTCCCAATAAGAAAGAACCAGATGTGCAGTGCTTCTTGGCTTTTCAGCATAGACTGGTTTCACCGACAACACTCATACAACTCACACTAGCATTCAGCTACCACATGCATAACTCTCCCAACTGTGTTTTGTCAAGCAAGTTGATGGTCTTCACGGAGCAAGTCAGCTGCTACGGAACACGCCAGCAAAAAACTTCGTACGCGAAACATTTACACACATGCTTCCGTTAGTTCCTAGCAATAGACTGATCAACACGTAGAAGAGTCATTGATACTTGAGACAGAAGTTGCAGGTTTATCTTTTACGTGTACAAACCGACTGCCTCAGCCTACCCAGCATTACATCACTGAATGCTTGCATTTGATCTGTTTGATTGCGTAACAGAACTGTGAATGACGGAGTGACAAGGATAGGATATTCATTACAGGTTATCCGCAACGTTCAGGATGATTTCTTCAACAAAATGGGAAGGAAAGTTACAGCAAGAGAGATGGTTTTAATCTAATCTACCAAATACGTGCTAACGCGCACAGGTACAAAGATCTTGCCTTGAGGAACCATTCGGTGCAATTCGCTTCCAGTCTTTGGTCACTAGTTGACGCTGTGATCGTACTCATGACAGTTTAAATGAGCCTGATTGAATTATTCAGTTGCTGAAATGACGCCACGATGGTGCTTATGATATTTATGCTCGTAGGCTACAAACTTACCATTAAGTTTGTAGATGGATAGAATAAAATGGGATAAAATTTCAAACGAAACCCGATTCTCAGCAATCCCCAGACGTAGGTAACTGCCCATCAGATCTTCAGCCAAATGAATTATTTTAAAGCTGAATAGTCTCTGACGAAATACATTTATCTATGGTTCTTTGTACGTTAGCTTACTCAAGCTAACCTGAGATGTGAAAAGCTTTTGTTTAAATATGAAAATCTAGTGGGCCACTAGCCATCAGCATACATTTTGGTTGCACGAGCAGCTCTGTTTAAGTTGAAAATGGTGCTGATTCCTCAACATCTAGAAGC